ATTTATCCTTGAAATATGTGATCTTTGCATCTTAATTGGCTGGCTTCTGGAAAATATATGGATGATTATCTATGGAATGAATTAGTTATTATACAGCGTTTTCACAACTCAGTCAGATTGCAAGTTGCATTATAACTCCTGGACGTGGTGTTCCACTAGGTTTACTCCTCATAGGCCTTCTTCCTAGCATTCCTACAGCAGCATAAATGAAGTTTTCTGATGTATATAGGGGCCCCTAAAGATATCACACTCTTTTACACACACACACACACACACACACACACACACACACTGCATCCAAGTTAAATCACACCTTTTAAGGACTAATAATCCCATAACACAGAAATAAAAGGGCAAAATCAGATCCCATATATGTCTACACTATTACAAAAAAATGTTAGGACTAGAAGAGAATTGAGGAGTTATCTAGATCAAATATGTAATACAAACTATCTATTAAGTCATTTCTTTCAGTGATTCAAGACTTAATGATTGAGTCTCTTCAAGTGCTTACTACAAGAGACATGTACTCATGTAATCATGAACACAGGAAGCCAAAAGGAATATATAAATATATATATATATATATATTCAGGAAAGAAGGAACAATGAAGCAATTAAAGGCAAAGACTAAGTCTGGGAGAGCTCCAGGTTTTCTAGACCCTGATTCCTAATAAGATCTGTCTGCACTTGGCTTCCATCAAATTCCTTTCTATTTTTATTTTTTCCCTAAAACTAGATCAAAGTTCATTTCTTTTATATACAACAGAAGCTTAGATTAAACACTAACCAAAATTCTCCATAAAGTTATTTGGTTATTTTGTTATTCATCTATATTTACTATACTTTCTTTTCTCCTATTAGTTTTTCCTCAAGAGACATAAATATAGCTTTGGCAAGCTATAGAGACATAAATATAACTTTGGAAAAATATAAACTGAGTTCCAGGTTCATACTAAGCATTTTTTGGTGGATACTTCACGGAACTAGGGGACAAACCAAATTTAACAGTTCAAACCTCAGGCCTCAAGACCCTCACAGACTTGTCAGGTTCAGACTCGGCAGTTTTGTGTGGCCATGAAGGTGCCGGAGATTGAACTCAGAGCCTTGTACGTGCAAAGTATATGAAACTCCTGAGACTCAAGTAGATTCCTGAGCTATGTCCCCAGTCTCCATGATGGGCATTTTCAAAGAAAACCCATCATCCTCAGAAAGGAGAAAATAGAGATATGTTCATAACAAAACCTTAAGCTATCTGTACAATAATTCAGGTAACTAACAATTTAAAAAATTCAGAGCTATCTGATTACCCTCCTATTGAATGCCAACTTAATCCTGAATAAATCAGGTCCAATTCAGTCTCTTTGAGGTATAATTTTAAAATTATTTTTAATTAACCATTATAGGGCTGGAGCGATAGCACAGCGGGTAGGGCGGTCGCCTTACAAGCGGCCAACATGGCCAACCCGAGTTCGATTCCTCCGCCCCTCTCGGAGAGCCCGGCAAGCTACCGAGAGTATTCGATATGCCAGACACAGTAACAACAAAGTCTCCAATGGAGACGTTACTGGGCCCGCTCGAGCAAATCGACGATCAACGGGAGGGCCTTTACCTTTACCTTTATTATAGGGCATATTTTTTAGAACGTTCATAGTATTATATATCATATTGCCTAAGTAAAAAGTGAAATAAATATAGTTGAAGAAAAAAAAGAAGGGAGGGAGGGAGGGAAAGAAGGGAGGGAGGGAGGGAGGGAGGGAGGGAGGGAGGGAGGAACAGAAGGGAGGGAGGGAGGGAGGAACAGAAGGGAGGGAGGGAGGGAGGGAGGGAGGGAGGAACAGAAGGGAGGGAGGGAGAGAGGGAGGAACAGAAGGGAGGGAGGGAGGGAGGGAGGAAGGGAGGGAGAGAGGGAGGGAGGGAGGGAGGGAGGGAGGGAGGGAGGGAGGGAGAAAGGAGGGAAAGAGAGAGAAAGGTTGGGATATTCTCTAGTGGTATCCAAACCCATACCTGAATTCCAAAACTAAATATCTAAACTAGTTAAGAGTCTGGGCTTAATGATCTCCAGAAGAGCAGTTAGGCATTTATTCTGTGCTGTAGGCAGCACTTTCTGCTATTAGATTCCCTTATCTGATAGGTATCTATCTAGTTTCTAGTAATCAAGAAGGTAACAGAAGCTTAACATCATGGAACTCTACCCGTGTTTGTGTGATTGCACAAATATTCCAGGTATCATGACATTTGGGGCTGGAGCGATAGCACAGAGGGTAGGGCGTTCCACCCCCCACCCCCCACCACCCTATCGACCGGAGTTTGATTCCTCCGCCCTTCTCAGAGAGCCCAGCAAGCTACCCAGAGTATCTCGCCCCACACAGCAAAGCCTGGCAAGCTACCTGTGACATATTCAATATGCCAAACACAGTAACAATAAGTCTCACAATGTTACCGGGCCCACTCAAGCAAATCGATGAACAACAGGAGGACAGTGACAGTGATCATGACATTTGAGAGGCAGACCCTGGCTCCCCCTAAACTGGGTCTACACCCATGAGATCTGACTTCAGGAGACCAGTTTAACATGTACAACAAGTCAGAGTTGACAAACAGATATTTGAACTAATGCAGTGGGTGGTGTGCAGAGTTATATAAACAAAAACAGTACTGCAGGATAATCCTGGGATTCAAAGGGGCACAAGAGACTACTGTTCAACTTCATCCTTTTACAGAGAGTAACTATCTTAACCAAATTCATCTGCCAATCCCCTAACTGTAATAAGTAATAAGTAATACCAGTAAGGACAAAATCCAAAGGAATTGGGACCAGATTATGATAAAACCCACAAAAGCAGCACTTTCTGTCATGAAGTCAAAAAGTAATTTTTAATTTAGAAAAAAAAGAATAAATTAGAAAAGTCTACAAAAGCTGCTGTTAGGATATTTTCTGTATTTTTTTATTTTTTGTTCTCGTTACCTGAGTATAGCAAAAGAGTACAGTTCTGACCTAATGAGTTAACATTTTACTTAAGATATCTGAACAAGTATCTGTAGAAACCCAAAAGCCCAAGTGTTGATTCAAAATGATATTTATTAGAAATATGTATATTTTAAATGATATTTATTGCTTGCAGCCTTGGCAGCAAGGTAGATTAGGCACAGTAACAGAATTCTAAGTGGGGGACCAGAGTGATAGTCAATCTGTGTTCAATCCCTGGCACCACATATGGTCCTCCAAGCATACCGGGAGAGATCCTTACTAAGCACAGAGCCAAGAGTAAGTCCTGAGCATCACTAAGTGTGGCCCAAAAGCAAAACAAAACTAAATGGCAGAGAGCTACTTACTTTACTTCTTAAAAAAAAGATTCCAGACATTCAAATAGGGTCCTAATTAAAGTCACCAGAAATCAGATTTCTATGTCAACTGGGACAAAAATTTAAAAGAATAAATGCTTAAATGGACCAAATATAAACTTAGTATTTATATTTACTGGGAAGGGACTACTGTGCAATGGATTTTTTGTCTTCAAGGACTGCTTTACTATAAATATTAGGTAAATCAACACATGGCTGGGTGGGGGGTGGGGGGTGGGGGGGACATACTCCCTAGGAATATAATTTCCTCTTTCTTGTACAAACCAGTATTATTTTAGAAGATCACTAATAAATTGTGAAGTGAGAATAGTCGAATTTCCCAAGAAGTGCTCTTAAAATTACTCCTAAAATATGAGTCCTAACAAGTAAATCTCTTAGAAAAACATTATCCATCAGAAACAAGCATCAGTAAACTTTTATAAACTGCACATATAATAATAAAGTCAAATACTGCAAATACCTCCCATTAATTTGGAAATTTTCTGATAGGTCCTAAAGTTGATTGCCAAAACTATCTTTAAGATTTATTTTGCCATCACTGCCAAGAAATGGAAGCATGAGGAGATAACTCAGAGGATGCTACCATATTCCTAATCCGTTTCCAACTCGTTTATAAGCGCTAAAGGGCAAAAACACAAGGCAAACTAAATTTCCCAAACAATCTCAACTCCGAGAAATTATAAATTTTGTTGAAAAACCCGGAAGCTTGGAGGACTAACGCATCACAAATATAAACATTCCTACCATCTCGCATTTACCTTAAACTCCACATGTGTACTCTCAAATAATTACTTTTCCTGAGACTCTTAGGTAAGCAAAATCCTCACTCCCGCCCACATCATTTAAAGAGAACTCAAAACAATCGTCCTTCGAGGGCTCCAACCAAAACCAGGCGGCACTGGCACCTCTCCTTCCTATAGAGTTTGACTTGGAACAGTCCAGGGTTCGAACTTAACTACCTGGGGCGGCTGCGTTCGATGTTTGGGGGTTGGTTTTATTGTTAATTTTTGTTTTGTTTTTCCGCTTCAAAAAGCAAAACAAAAGTGGTACCTGGCAAACTCCGGGTCTAGTTGGGGTTTGACCTACGAAAGCTCCTCGGAGCCGGCGAGTCCGGGTGCGCCCCTCCTGGCCCCCCGCGCGCCGCTCCCGGGACCCCGCGGCCAGGGACATGCCGGCCTGGCTGGCGAGTTCCCACGCGCTCCAGGCCCGTTATCCGAACTGCCACCTGGGCGGCGCCGAGGGGCTGGGGCCGGGGGGCGCGGGGCGGGGGTCCCCGCTCGGGAGCCGGGTGCGGGGCCCCGCGGGCGGTCGCGCCGGGCTCCTCCCTCGGGGGCCCGCGGCGGGAGCGTCGCGCGCGGCTCAGGTTCGCTCCGGGCACGGGATAAGGTGTCACCCGGCAGCCTGACGCCAGCGCCGCTCCCAGTCCTCCCGCCCGCCCGCCCGCCCCGGGGCGCGGGGCACCGACCCCCGCCGCGCCCCTCGGCGGCGCAAAGGGACAGGGAGGGGGCGCCGCGCCCGAGGCTGGAGGCGAGGGGCGCGGCGGGCGCCCCGCGGGGACCGGGGTCAGGGGTCACGCCCCAAGTTGGCAGAGTCGGGGCGGTGGGGCGAGCGAGGCTGGGGGCGCCCCGACTTACCGGGCAGCGCGGCCGCCGGCGCCGCGGCCAGGCACAGGCAGAGGCAGAGGCAGAGGTGCGGCGGGAGGGGGCGCGGGCGCGGCGGCCGCGGGTGCGTGGAGAGCCGGGGTGCCGCCGCCGCTGTCCGAGCGCTCCCTCCTCCCGGCTCCGGGGCGGACGGGGCGGCGGGAGGCATGACGGGAAATTCCTGGGCACGGGCAGCCGCGTCCAAATATGAGCATAGGAGCCGCGCCGGGAGGACGGCGGCCGCGGCGGTGGTGGCCACGGGGCCCGCTGCCCAGCCGCCGCCGCCGCCGCCGCAGCCAGCTGCGCTGCCCCGCAGCCTCCCCCGCCCGCCGGGACGGGCCGCCTCCGCCGAACGCGGCCCCCGATGGAAGCCCCCGATGGAAGTCCCCGGCTCGAAGCATCCTTGCCCCGCGAGCGCGGGGCGGAGGCCGGGCGCCACCGAGCGCCCCCCGCCCCCACCCCAAGGGTCGCACCTAAGAACCCCGAGGGCGTGGGGCGGGGGCGGGGGGTGCAGAGATTTAGTCGCGGTGACGGCCAGCCCCTCCCCCGGAGGAAGCCGGCTAGGCGGGTTGACTGCTAACGGGTGCTGCCCCACTTGGGTTGGGCGCCTGGGTGATCGGGAGAAGAGTTAACTTCTCCAGGGTGGGCGGGTGCGGCTGGAGCGGGGTCCGTGTCCGCGCGGGCGCACCGTCTGCGCACGGGGTCCAGAAACCCCCTTCCCCACCAGGTGTGCAGCTTATGGTGTGCAGCTTATGGGGTGAGGGGGGGAGGAGGGGGGTGTTAAAGGTACTTTTCCCAAATTGCACGGAGCCCTGCCCAAAGTTCTGTTTGAGCACCATATATGGAGGTAAGGCAGACTAAGTGCGGATCGGGTTTTTTTCCTTCTAAAGGCTGATGTTTAGATTGGCCTTTGCTTCCACCTCTTCATCCATCCCCCCTGACACTACTTTTGCATTTCTAAAGGACACTGTTGTAATTTATCGAAAAGGTGGTACATTCTAATGACCAAAACGTCAGTCCCAGATGTTTAATTATGGGCCCAAACCATTCGTTTTCTGACTGTTTTTTGGCAACGAAAGCGCTACCCCCAGAGATAGAGTCCAAATGACCCTTAACTTTTCAAGACAACATAATCATTCATTAATTATCACAATTTATTTTTTACTCACACTTATGGAACAGACACTGGAGATGTAGGATGTTATGTAAGTACTTATGAGCACTTTAAAGATGCTGCTGGAATGATTTATTGAGGCAAAATACTTACAGGGGTAAATGTCAAACAGATTTAGATTGTGGATTATTCTAACATGAACCAAAGTCATGGTAATTTGTACATTGCACTATTTGTTTTAAAATGCTTTATTTGAAAATCAGAAACTTTATTTCAAAGCATTCAATTCTGGCAAACTACTAAGGCCTCAAAGCCAAAACCAGCCCATTTGCAAGTGGCTCCCCTTAAATCATTTCATGCTGAGAACGATCATGTCCCATGAATTATACTTGGCAAATGGCTCCCTCCCTGTACTGGAAATTATAATGGGACTTAGGGTTGATGACCTAAATAAACCAGTGGTGCACATAGAGTAAACAAGGAGCTTCAAGACAAATGCCAGGGCTATTCCAGTAGATACCAAATAACTGGGCAGATGAAAGGGAATAATCTGAAAACCCCTGCCTGTTCCTCCCCTTTCCTCGTGTGTGTGTGTGTGTGTGTAAAACTGTGTATTACATAAGAATCTTTGTGTTGTTTTTCCCCCCTTTTCCTCCCACAAGAGCTAAGGCAGTTCTTTGCCCAGAGTCTAAATATTTGTTTTAAAGCAAAAACAAAATGAGTACAGTCCGACTTATAGAAGCTCCCTAAAAATAGAGAAAGACTTCTTTTGAAAGTTTAATAATTTATAAAAAAAAAATGACTGTATTTTACATTTTTTAGTGGCTCTTTGGCACAAAAATGTTGAAGAATGCAATGTCATTACAACCTAGTTCATATTAGTATAAGGGAAAATTTATTTATGTCAACTCTGCTGACAATCAATGGCTATTGTAAATGTTTAAATAACTATGTTTAAGAGCGAAGAAAAGGGCCAGAGAGATAGCACCTCAGGTAAAGTGCTTGCTTGCAAACTCCCAACCTGGATCCCTCCTTGGCATCCTTTATGGTCCCTTGAGCCTTACCCAGGAAAGATCCCTGAGCACGGAGCCAGGAGTAAGTCCTGAGCACTACCAGATGTGGCCTAAAAAAACAAAAATAAAAGTAAAAAACAAAAGAGTGGAGAAAAGAATTAGTTACTAAGTTAGTGCCAGAGGTTTTTACACTTGTAGCTCACTTATCCTTTTCATCTCTGATTTTATTTCTGTCCATATCTTATAGCTAAGGAAACTGAGGCAAAAATATTTAAGCAATCAGGAACTGATGGTGTTAGAATACTTAAGGATGTGCTGGAACTCTAACCTTATTCCAAAGTCCATTCATCTGTCTCATTTATATATAAATGTATATGTACTCACACACATAAAGGCATTATAAACTTTACTCATTGGGCTTCTGTGGTTTTAAGTAACTGGTATGCACTCAAGTTACCTCCAGTAACAGAGGAAAAGAATACAGTGGAAATAAGACCAGCAGCTTAACCGGCTTGTCAGGTCATCCTTTGTGGGACTCTTAGGAGGGGCTTTGTGTCTTTGATAGTCACTGGGAACAGGAAGACTCTTCCTTATGTCCACATTCCAAAGGGTTTTGTAGTTTAGCTGCTAATATTTTAATCATATGTTTACAATGCTTTCTTTTTTGTATTATAATCTGAATAACAGTGCTAAGTGTTAACTTTAAACATTATTTTCCAGATGAAGGACCAGAGCAGGTAACTGTTTCTGCTGTTTTCTATAAGCCATCCCTGCCCCCATGGCCACATTGGTATGCTAGTAAATGCTTAATCACCAGATCTGAAGGAGGGAAACCAGAAGGACCAGAACAAAAACAAAAAACACCGGTTGATAGATCCTTCACCAACCAGAGCTCTCTGTTGGCAGCTGAGTGAGAACAGATGCCCATGTCCAATCTACAAGACCTCGAAAAGTGTCTTCATTACACAGCATAATTCCAGTCACACAACCTCAGCTCTTTTCTTGTGCTATCAACTTTCAGTTCTTTCTCGATAACTATCACATAAGGGAGAGAATATGATTCCATCACTATTGTATGTCTTGGAGAAAATTTTTGTATGGGCTCTCTTCTAAGCAACTAGTAGCCTCCAGATGGATTGTCTTTCTGTCTGGGTTTTGGGCGGGAGGGGGTGGAGGGGCAATGCTGAGACTGTATTCAGGGATTACTCCTGGCTCTGTGCGCTCAGGCAGGGATCACTCCTGGGGGGGGGGGGGGGGGGGAGGGGCTTGTAGGACAGTATGTAGTACCAGGGATAAAACCTAGGTTGGTGACATGCAAGGCAAACACCCTACTTGCTGTTCTATTGCTGTGGTCCTGAAGTACATTTTTCAATGTTTGATGTGCTGCCATGTGGATTGTGAATACACCACAGCAATAAATACTTAAGATTTGCATTGTTGTAGAGCACTCAGGTTAATAATTCTCTCTCGATCATCAAAGTTGCTTGACTTTTGGCAAGTTTGTAGCAAACCATGTCACTGTCACTGTCCTCCCATTGTTCATTGATTTTCTCGAGTGGGCCCAGTCTCCATTGTGAGACTTTGTTGTTACTGTGTTTGGCATATCAAATACGTCACAGGGAGCTTGCCAGACTTTGCCATGCAGGCAAGATACTCTTGGTAGCTTGCCGGGCTCTCCGAGGGGGCGGAGGAATCGAACTCGGGTCGGCCGTGTTGGCCGCTTGCAAGGCAAACGCCCTACCTGCTGTGCTATCACTCCAGCCCATAGCAAACCATAAGAAGTGATATATGTGTGTGTGTGTGTGTGTGTGTGTGTGTGTGTGTGTGTGTGTGTACACAGTAACAACAAAGTCTCCAATGGAGACGGTACTGGACCCGCTCGAGCAAATCAACGAACAACGGGAGGGCCTTTACCTTTACCTTTTATATATATATATACCTTTATATATATACCTTTACCTTTTATATATATATATATATACACAGTAAACTCTGTTTAACAGAATAAAGGAGAGGCAACAAAGGCAAAAATTCACTTTGTCCAGTAGTACAGAAAAATTCGCTTTGTCCAGTAAAGGTAAAGGTAAAAGGTAAAGGCCCTCCCGTTGATCGTCGATTTGCTCGAGCGGGCCCAGTAACGTCTCCATTGGAGACTTTGTTGTTACTGTGTCTGGCATATCCAATACTCTCGGTAGCTTGCCAGGCTCTCCGAGAGGGGCGGAGGAATCGAACTCGGGTCGGCCGTGTTGGCCGCTTGCAAGGCAAACGCCCTACCTGCTGTGCTATCACTCCAGCCCATAGCAAACCATAAGAAGTGATATGTGTGTGTGTGTGTGTGTGTGTGTGTGTGTGTGTGTGTGTGTGTACACAGTAACAACAAAGTCTCCAATGGAGACGGTACTGGACCCGCTCGAGCAAATCAACGAACAACGGGAGGGCCTTTACCTTTACCTTTTATATATATATATACCTTTATATATATATACCTTTACCTTTTATATATATATATATATATATATATATATACACAGTAAACTCTGTTTACAGAATAAAGGAGAGGCAACAAAGGCAAAAATTCACTTTGTCCAGTAGTACAGAAAAATTCGCTTTGTCCAGTAAAGGTAAAGGTAAAAGGTAAAGGCCCTCCCGTTGATCGTCGATTTGCTCGAGCGGGCCCAGTAACGTCTCCATTGGAGACTTTGTTGTTACTGTGTCTGGCATATCCAATACTCTCGGTAGCTTGCCAGGCTCTCCGAGAGGGGCGGAGGAATCGAACTCGGGTCGGCCATGTTGGCCGCTTGTAAGGCGAACGCCCTACCCGCTGTGCTATCGCTCCAGCCCAGTAGTAGAGAAAAATTATAATTGGAGACACCCACATCCCACTGCCACCACCATGTAAGCTCATCTACCAACCCTGTTCCAGAGACTCATGAAAGAGATAAACTAGCCACAAAAATTTCTTGGATACCCAGTCCCTGCTGAGACCTCCCAGGCACTCTCGGGT